GCAAGAATTTTTGTTCTTTCCTTTCTGGTATTGGCTAATTAGTACTAAATAACGTTAATTTAGCCTGCTCTACTAGAATAAAGTCTTATTTGTAAAACAGCAAAGCAACGAAAAAATTCAAGCAATACCTCATCTGACAGAGAATTTCACGAGCTACAATATGGACTACCTTAAGCATTTTAGAATTCGTTTTTGGTCGCTCGGTAAGTCTGATAAGTCGAAACTTTAACATTATTTTTTTCTCAGCGAAATAATTTCATTAAGCCGAAAAAACTCCCGAACATACACTTCGAAGTGTCCTCGCTGACGAGAACTTTTTTAAAATTTTCTATTTCTGATTTTTAAATGAAATTTTAGGGTTTTTAAAATTTGAAAATTTCGTATTTTTTAATTTAAAAATTAAAAATTTTAAAAAAAGCTCTCGTCAGGGAGTCCAAAATTCGATTCTGAATAACTTTTGCACTCAGAAACGCTTGCTTCGAGGGAAACTAGCCGTAAAGCGAGGTGAAAAATACGTTTAGCTCTGAAGTTTCCTCGAGAAGGCGAACGCTAAATTTCTGCGGCAAACTTCATTCGGGAACGATGAAAAGGGTTTCTCCGTATACAAATTAATGTTCTCTATCGAACTACGCTAGAATCAACTCTTCATATCAAAAAAATGAAGTGTTTATTGAAGTTTTAAAAATAAGGCAAAAAACCCGAAAAGAACTTAAAAATTTTTTTTATCAAAAACTATAAATCCGGGAACCGAAAGCTTTGTTGGGACATATATTCCAAAGTGTCCTCCGGAAACTGCTGGAAAGAGAACTCCTTCCTTAAAACTATCGAAAAACACAAAAGCAATTTTTGAACGAATAGAGATTCGAATACAATTTTTATGTCCTTTAATCTTTTTTATATTCTTTAATCTTCATTTTCTTTTCTTTAATGAGCTAACATTGCTTCTAAATAGTCACAAAACAAAATTAATAACCGTTTTTTGTTTCTGATTAGGTGTCTAGTTTGGTTCCATTCACAAACCATTTATTTAGGTTATTTTAACATTATTTCATCTCTTCTACGACTCATAGTTTCTTCGAATACAGTTGAATGCTACTCTCAAAAACATTCTCCGAATAATTAGTAATGCAGATGATGAACCACTTTATCTGCGTGTGCCAACTTAGAGTTCGAGCAATAAAAAAGAATGCAATGGCCCCTCTCGAATCTTCATAGTGAAACGGGTTCTATCTTCGTTTTCTTTTATTATTTATCTCTTTTTACACACTGGTAGCAGTAGACTTCTAACTGTTTGGCATTACAATTGATTAGACTTGCTTCCTTGCTATCAAAAAACTTAGCGGTTGCTAAAGTGCCTAAACTTTTATATCGTGCTAGTACTGCTCCTTCTCTTTGTTTCTATCGTTTTCTTCTATGCTAATTTTAATCATATGGGCGTTTATACAAATATGGTCAATTTTAACAATCTTTATTGGTATAAATAACACGTCAACAACAACTGAAAATGTTCTTGGACAAAAATGAAAAAACTGTAAAAATTGCAGTACTTTTAAAAAGTAATCTCAACAGAAAGGAAATGCTCTTCATAAGAGTGATCGAATTTCTAAAAACATTTAATATTGAAATTATAGCGTACAATGAAAACAGCACTAATGAACTGAACAAACACCGGTAACAATGAAAAACAGCAACATTTTTGAGCGAATAAATAGATAAAGAAATTAATCAGAGATGTCCAACTTCTAGGTTAAATGAATATAAATGTCTTTATAGACTTGTGTATCATGCATACACAGCGGAGGAGGCCTTTCAACAAGAAAGTATTTCACAAATATTCTCTTATTACGTTTTCAATCGTTTGTTTGAATCAACCTATGCAAAACGATATCTTTTAGATCACATGTGTTGTTCAGTGTATGAAATCTGCTTATATATACTAACCCATGTGCAAGGTAAAGCTGAATAACACGATGACGGTGAATTGGGTCGTTTTCCATTACCCGGCAATGGAAAGCACGTATTGCACTGTGGACACTTTATGTCTAAAACATTAAAATTACAGATTGAGAGATGAGAGTCTAAAATCAAATCAAATTATCACAACAATCTTTCTCTAGGCAAAACTATCAAGGAAAATGCTAGACAAAACTTTCATTTGGATAAAATTCCATTTTAACTGCTCAGGACATATTTGTCGATGGAAAATATTGTCTAAAGTTTGTCCCTGACATTTCTTTCGAATAGTTAGTTACTCATGGCTTCACCATCATAATCTCGTCACATCTCTATTGTGTCAGGACGGACTTACTAATAGGATTTGTGCCTGTTGCCACTTCTTCAGAAGAATAAGTCGTATCATTGTAAACAACATCAGTATGTTCAACTGTTGTGCCTGTTGCCGCTTCTTCAGAAGAATAAGTCGTATCATTGTAAACAACGTCAGTATGTTCAACTGTATTTATATTCTTTTTGGATGATGCCGGTGCTAAATGGAATTTTTTATATCTGTACTAATTCAAAGATGACACCTTTTTATCGTATATACTCACACTCTAGTATTTCCTGAGACATACAACTAATACCAGTTGGCTGATATTCTCCAGTAGGAGATTTCACCACGATATCGAACGCCAGTATTGATTTATTTAAACTGAAATCGTCTTTAAATTCTTTTGCTCTATGAGTATCACAGCGTACCATGGCTAATCAAATATAAACAAATGTACAACTGTGATATTAACTATTATGACTGATCCTTCTTCCCTCGTCTTACCTGATGAGGAGATTTCAAACGGTGAATATGATGATAGTTCATAGGATATTTCATCTTCCTTTTTTCGAGTTATTCTTAATTTTGAAAAACTTAAAGAAAACAAAATATATTCAAGAACTGTCAACACTACATCAGTGACGAGTATTTGAAATCGAACTGTTATGGATATACACAAATTTGATATACAAAGAATTTGATCCAAATTTTACTCAACTATACGTGATTTTGTAGGAAATGTGTCAAAATTTGTTGAAACTTAGCGTCATTAAGTAAATAGTTTGTTCTCAAGCTTAGAAAACAGAAGTTAAGCAACAGATGAATTTTCTTCGAGACGGAGGATTTACTTACCTTTGAGATCCTCGATCCTTGTCCTGTGAGGTTATTGGATAATACAGTGAACCTTCTTTTGCTATTACACCGGCATCTCCTGACGTCAATCCATATGAATGATGGAAACGCAGATCATTGATCGGCTGTGCAATTAATCGACTAACCCGAGTATACGCCTCACGGCCATCGTATTCGGCTAAATTTGGTAGCTAAAACAAAAATCATTTTTATTGTCAACAAATAAAATATTTTTGAAAGAAAATGATTTACCTTGATTGACGGACCAACTTTGTTTTTTTTCCCACTACCTGTGGTGTTTCTAGCATGTAAATATCTCTTTTCCTCCTTTTCGTATCGTACATGTGGAGCTTCTTCTGGTTCTCTTTCCATCGACATTGTATAGTTGACAATCGAATTTGGAATATCAACGACAGTGACAGTAGTTGATTGTACTTCTTCGAAATTGTCACTACTACCTTCCTAAATTAGAGTCGTCATGAATAGAAATGCCTGCACAATCAATCACTGGCCAAATAACAAAGAAGATTATCCAATCTTCGACATACCTATATCGATTTATTATTTGAGCTGAAAGGAGGGAAGCCAACTTGTAGTGAAATCCGCCACAAATGAGAGTATTTTATACAATGAAAACCATTTTAAACTTGTGAGACTTAGATACTTCGACTCAGCTTCTGCCACTGACTCTGAATATCGTGATGGTTTTGTGAAAAAATACATTTTCGATGGTGGAAAATGGCAAAATACTGCTTATTTTTCAAAACTTTCGCCCATATCCATAAGCTTTTCTGATCTTTTCGTATGTCTATAGTCAAAGTCTAGTCGACTCACAAAATGTTAGGTCTTAGGAAAGTTGCGTTTTTTATTATTACTTTTATGATGGTAACGTTGTCTCAAGTCAATTCAGAAATATTAGTCATTGCTTGCTCAACTCGACCTATCGTTATGCAACAAAAAGTTTTTCTCAAAAATGTTTTGCGTCTGTGATATTCGCCATGTTTAAAACTCTACGCATTATTGACATGAAGAAATATTGTTCACCTTTCTGTCTCAACAAAACATGAACTTTTTTCAACTAAAAAGTAGGAAAAACTATGTACGATTTTCATGTTATAAAATAATCTCATTTACCGGCGATGCACTTCAACTTGGCTTCCCTCCTTTACCGAAGGTGAACTCTACATCTGAATTGATACACAAAAGATGTTTCTTCAATACTCACCACTGGGAAATCAGGTAGTTGTTGGATTAGCTCGTTATTTGTTACCAGCGTTGTCTGGTCAATATCCAGGAGAATTACTACTAAATAAATTAAGAGTTAACAAGAAATTTCTATGTCAGCGACCAGGTCTAGTTAAGAGATTTTACCATCATCATTTATTAACGATACATCATTTAACGGCTGATATTGGAGTACTTTATCATTTTCCTCTGATGTATTGTTCGGCCACGATTCGTCAACTATGTCTGAAAGATATCGTTAGCGTTTAGATCAGAAAATAAAACAGCATTGATGAATAAGCGATATCCTGTTTAATTACATACCAGATGAGAATCGAAATGATGAATCTTCATTTTGAAAAGGATTCCTTGAAAGAACTACTGGAGTATTCAAACCAAGTACTTCTGAGTCTAAAAGAATTGAGATAAATTCTTTTCAGTACGGGTTTGTTGACACTTATGAAAGGATTTTTAATCCTTACATAACAGCAAATAGTTTTGATTAACGATGGATATTTTACACCGTTTTATTTTCACATGGTGTTACACTTAGATGAACATCAAGACTTTTCCACGAGCAAAAGCTCATTCTATCCGTGTTGATCCTAAGAGTTTTTTAAAAATATTGCTCACCCTGTCTAGCATATACTGGAAAAATTATATCACGGTGGATAATATTATTGTGATCGTCCTCTAGGACATATACCGGATCATCCGTCGAATTTATACCAGTCGTGATTGGACTATTCCATAACATATACATTGGGTCAATTGCATCAGGAACAATATTCATTTCGTATAATTTATCAATCTCACAAACTCAATAGAAATAAAACTAGACAAGTGTGCAATTTAGCTTTAGAATATTTGTAAGATTTAATAATATG